GACAATGAGCATGAAAAGGCACGACACTCGGGCACAGACGGCTCCCTTCCCACCCCTGCACACCTGTCGCAGGAACGCCAGAGTCTTGCTTTGAAGGGCTGCCACTTCAGGAAGAATGACTCTTGGTTGCTTTGGGAGAAGTGTCTGATGATCGGCAGGTGGACGTTAGCTTTGCAAAGAGGGGAAGACCCAACACCTAGGAAACAGTGAGGCTCGTAGAGAAAACTAGACGTGTAATCAAGGCCTGGTGGCCGCCCTGCTCCTGAGGAATAGGATGGCCTTTCTGGGGTCTGATGCCAGTTTCTGCCACCAGAGGTGGACCAGACGCTCATCCAAGGAAATCCCACCGCCTCCCTGGCAGACACTGCGACGTACGGAAAGGGGTGGGACCTGGGGCCCTGCAAGTTTGTCCCAGACACATGTGAAGACCAGATGGACGGACGAAATGTGAGGAAGTGGAGGTGCTTCTTTGGATCGCTGTGAAAGTTACACAGGAAAAAGCCACAATTTTCAGTGCTTCCACACCACTCCCTCATCACCCACCATGAGATACCACTATTTTATCTTTTATCAAGAACACGGATTTTAAGTCAGCCAAAAAAAAATGGAATAGCTATTGATTGAAGGCTCTAAGAACAAGCTTTATAAGAGTCTCATTTCAGGATGACATCAAAATATTCAGGTCCTGGGCAGGAGGGTATAGCTCAGCGGTAGCATGTGTGCTTAGCATGCATGAGGTCCTGGATTCCATCCCTGGTACCCATTTAAAATATACATATCTATACACACACACATTCACACACACATATGTGCACATACATATATATACATATACATATACCTAATTACCTCCCCCACCAAAAAGAAAAGATTCACATTAAAAAATAATAATAAAGCCCCCTCCAAAAGAGAAAATTCAGGTCCTACCCCATGGACCAACGCTGACAGTAAACTTTAGAAGAAGTAAAGAAAATTAATCATTCTGACTCTAATTCAGAAAATAATTTTAAAAACAAAGAAGAGCTTTCATTCATCTTGCATTGAAATGGACAGGACCCCGGCCCCCCGCGCATCTTCGCTGTGCACCGACTACTGGAGGTGGTGCGTCCCCAAGCCCAGCCTCCGCCCTCCCTCGCTCAGAGCCAAGGCAAAGAGGAGACGAAACCCGCAGTCTCTTTTCTATAAATAGAGCTCTTTCCAACCAAACGTTCTCTTCACTTCATTGCTCACGCAGACGCCTACTAGGCCTTGTGTTTTCAAAACCACAATTGTCTTTCATTTCATCCTGAATAATTGGGGTGGGTAGTCTTACAGCACAGCCCTGCCTTTCAGAGAAACATGTGTGGAATTTCTCTCTGTCCCTTTCAGGCAAGAAGATAATGCACATTTTTGAGAAGTTTCTGCCTCTTTCTTCTCTGCCTCAGATATGATCGTTCTAACAACTTCTAATTACTTGGCCTCCAAGGATGAGAGGCAGGATGCTCAGAGCCCGGCCTCTTTGTTCTGGGTCAGCTGACGTGCACCCTTCTCTGCTCACGCTTAGAAAGAACAGAGAATAGACTCTAATTAAATCCCATATTTTTCAGATCACTCAACTGAGTAAACTGACAGCGATGTTATCTGTGGGCCTGCTGCCACATCTGATCAAGCTCTTTCCAGAGCTGTGTAACCTCCCGTAGGTAGAAGGGGTGGGGGAAGTCCGTCTGAAGGCTCCTGTTACCCATTGGAGTGATTTTTTAATGGCTTGTTCTATTTTACTTTATTCTTTGTAATTCTTACATTTGATTGAAGTGTAGTCAATTTGCAATGTTAGTTTCACGTGCCCAGCAAAGCAATTCAGTTATACACGTGCATATATACGCATATTCAGATTCTTTTCCATTTTCAGCTCATTATAAGAAATTGAATGTAGTTCCCTGTGCTGTACAGTAGTTCCTTGTTGTTTATCTGTTTTATGTAGTGTGTACCTATTAATCCCAAACTCCTAATATGTCCCTTCTTCCCTGCTTTACCCCTGGTAACCACAGTTGTTTTCTGTGTCTGTGAGTCTATTAAATGATTTGTTTAAAAAAATTTTTTTTGAAAGAACTTCCCCTTTTCTTTGACTTTTACTGTTTTGCTATAAAATCCCACTCAGGGCACAAAAATTATGTATATTTCTGTTTATTACCAGAGTGAAAAGAATGGAGTCCTTCAAGATGGCACCTTCTTAAAGCTGAAACGTACCCAGTATCTACTCTTTCCCAGGCCCCACACCTGCATTTTCCATGCAGTGTCTCGTCTGATGCTGAGAGCAGCCCATGTTATACATCACACTTAGGAGAAGAGGGAGTGGAGGCATTATGCAGACTGGACACCTTGTCCCGAGTCACAGGGTAAAGAAAATGCCTCTGAACTTGCAGAGGGGAAGTGGGGGAGGGAGTGAGAATAAAATAGCTCTGTGCTGAGAGACTAAGTTCTGATCCACGGATCCGTATCCGGTCAAGTTCCAACGGGAAACATACCCCAAATAGGATTTAGCAAGTTTTATGTGCAAAGGCACTAGGGAAAAAGTGGGTGGGCTGCAGGAGTCTGGAAGCTGCCATCAGCTGCCGTGTTACTGCCCTAATGATGAGCATGGGGGCAGAAGAGCTACCAGAGGTTGCCAGGAGACAGAGATGATGGAGGTACAGGGCACAAGGTGCATTGAAAGGGTCCACAATCCTTCACTCGGCGACAGTGACCCGAGGCGACCTCGCAGGGACGGAGGTGAGACCTCTTTCCTCCCTTCACGCCCCAGCTGGAGAAGCCCTCCTGGAACCCAGAGGGCACAGGAATCCTGCTGGCGGAGGAGGAGGAAAGGGGACGGGGCGGTTCTGGAAGGACGGAGAGGAATGCAGAGCTCTGGCTTTAGTCTCACTTCCCGCGCATTCCCCGCCTCTCCTGTGAGTTTCCGCCTGCCTCCTGCCTAGTGTCTGCTCCTCTGCCTTGGACTCCCTGAGAGGCACACAGGTGGCCTACACTGATGACAAAGAAGACGCCTTTGTGGACAAACACAGTGGAGCTAAATCCAGAGGAAAGTGTGTAAACAGGGCAGGTGGAGGGAGGCTAGGCTGGGAGCTGACCTTCCCGGGAACCGCAAGATGGTTTCCTCACTTACTCGTTCCTGTCTGAATAAGAGGAGCAGCTCTAACAACAATAGTAATTACAGTGGAGGATCAGGAAGATAAATGAGAGGAGTAAACAGGTTTTAAGATTAATAATGGTCAATTAAATGCATGATTACTATTAACACAGATTCATTTAGTTTCACCCTGTTAGAACTCAGACAGAAAATCCGACGGTTTAACTGAGTCAGTATCCTGGGTACCAAGATGGCAGTCTCCAGAGCTGGACTCCAGCTGTCCCTTCATTGGTCAGCGTGTGTGTGTGTTGGGGTCCTCAGCCTCTGGAAATAACCCTTCCCGTCGATGTGATGTAGGAGGAAGGTCATGCGTTCCGGAATGAGACACAGTTCTGTGACCCTGGGCATTTCAGCATATCTGTGGGTATTTACACTTACAAAATAGTGGTTATAATAACTCTCAGGTTGTCATGGGAATAAAAGATGATGCTGAACATCCAGTGCTCAGTTCGGGGTTAGAGTTGAGGAAATATTCTTTTCTTCTTCTCTTTGGATAGAACTATTTTTATGAAATGAAAAGAACTCACAAGTAAACGAAGTTTCTAATTATCTGGTGTTATTATTAACAAACAAAATGGCTGGACCTTCTCTCTTCTCCTCTGTCAGTGCTTTGATCATTTTATTGACTTCAGACTCCAGTTGTGAGATGAGAAGTTCTCATGAGCCTTATCCCCAGCAGAAGGCTTGCGTCCTCGGGAAACAGCAGAATGCCTGTTTGATTGGAGGAGAGATGATCTGTTCTAGCTTTCTGGATAGAATACAAAACTCTCCTTCTTACAAAACGCCAAGGTAATTATGTCACTCTTTCCACACCTTATATAAGAGCTACCTATTTCCATGAAATAATGGGGGTAAAATCGGTTTGGTGAGCCAGAAGACCTGGTTTTAATTTCAGTTCAACATTTTCCTTCTGATAACATGGGAAGAGCATAACTGTATGAGCCTCAGCCTACTCACCTACAAAACAGGGATTAAATGAGGTAAAATGTGTAAAAGTTCTTAATACAAGTCTCATACAGGGCATAATTTGAATTTTATGAAGCTACATAGCCCCTACAATGAAAAGCAATGTGTTCTGCACAAAATATGCCCTTAGTAAGTGTTTACATAATTAAACTGAATTTAAAATATGTAGCTAATGCAAATATGATAGAAATATATCAATATTTCTGTTATTAAAAAGCAAACACAGCACATAATATTGTATATTTTGAATACAGACACTACAATTGCAGCTCAAACCTTTTTCTATTGGTTGCTTTATTTTTCACTGATGATCTTGTGTGAGGCCACAGTTTCAAGGAAGGAGTATACAATTTGGAATCAGAGTTGAATTTAAACACTATGCACATGAAGTCACATGACCTCGGAGAATTCGCTGCATTTTACTGACGTGACAATGCCATTAATGGTAAGATGCATGTGTTCCACTGATACAAAAGAAAATATTGTCATTACACTAACACATGATTGCTAAATGAACTGATTGCAAGGTAAATCCTTATTTCAAGGATGTTAAGGGAAACCACAATTGAACAAAATAAATTATTTAACTTCTATGATCCCAAGTTTCTCCATCAGAAAAATAAGGCTGATGATGACTCAGATGATACTGAGAGAGTCACATGAAAATAGAGAATGAGGGGTGTCCTTTTTAGACACTGAAACACTTGGCAAATATTATTTTTAGACAAAGAGCTCCTTTAATAAGAACTCAGGGTTGAGATATGAAACATCGTTTGACCTCCAGATCTATTTTTGTACCAACTGTTTCGTGTAATTTTCTCCCCTGGTGACAGCTCTCACTGGCTGTTTATGAAATGTCCTGACAAAAAAGGAACATATTCTGTGTTTATTTCAAAACATAATCGTGGAGATCCCATGACCTTGAATTGCTTTGGCTCAGGTGTGGACTTCTCGAAGGATTTATCTCTTTCTTTTAACTTTTAATTGCTTTTAGTAATTACTCAAATGCAACACTAGTAGTTTAGCAATTAATCAAGAAAAATGTATAACCCATTAAGATTATTCATCTGAAAAAATTAACATCAAATTGCAACCAAATCTGGAAAATGCAAATAAGAAAACCAAAGTCATAAAAAATCAATAACATTATCCAGGCCAGAGAACGAGTTGCACAGTTTAAACAATAAACTCTTTTGGAACTTTTTTTAGTTCACTTAGGGTGTCAGATCTGAACACTTTGCGGTAGCCTCAGCAGATCTACGTGACTTCAGATTTTGAAATTGCAGGAAGAACTAGAGAGAGAGTTGTGCTTTCTCAGACACGTGTTATACTGAGGGTCAGAGGGTGCATCTAAAGGATGCCATGTCATTTGAATGAAAAAAGTTCAGTGTTGCATATTCATTGTCTCCTGGGCTTCTGCCAGTCCTTCTCAGTGTGACAAGCACCGGTGCCAAAATACATGATGATGAATGTCTCGTGAGTCCCTTCTGTGTTTCTGAGTTTGCAGTCCACGCCTGCTGCCCTGGAAGAAACGGTAACCATTCACTAAATTTGATTGATTTGTGGTAAAGTTCAATGAGCTAGTGAAACTCGAATGTTTTGTGAGTTACGGAGAATGCGGAAAGCTATAGAATGCCGTGATGAAGACATTAACAAAGCTGTGCTATTTGACAGGAATGATTTATGCATAAGCCCAACATTTGCCATGTGTCTTCTTCCAGCTTTATCTCCTGGACGACTTAGATAATTCAAAGTCTGTATTAAGATCATATCCCTTCATCTTCAAGCCTCTGATTAGGGTGTTTCCTACACCTAGAATATCTTCTTCCCCACTTCTACCCTGGGGGAACCCTGAGCATGTTTCGTATCTCAACTCTGTTTGCCCCTCTTCCATAAAATCTCATCTGCATGCAATCTCTCTCCCATAAAGCATTCCACTTAGCACTTCCTTTATACATCCATAATAACTCCTACTCCAGTCACTCAGGGATTTAGAGATGTCTGTCCGCCTTATGGATTTGAATTTCAATGTTTTATTCATACTTATAATCCCAGAGTCTGTGCATAAAATTACTCAATATTTGTTGGTTAAATTTGATTTTGAATAATAGAGAAAGAACACCTTTGTAATTGGGATGGGAAATGAGACTGTAGTTTAATGTCATAAAGCAATGGTTGTCACAGAATAAAGGACACCATGTGGTTGCTGAATGCCCATGACCGATGACCATCCCATTAGAGTTCACTTCTTCACGCTTCCTAACAAGAAACGTAGCTGAATCCCAATAAATGAGAATATTACAAAAGAGAGTATTTAATCTACAAACGTAGTACTTTGTTTTTAGTAATCAAGTACTTCAGCACACCTCAAATTTTTGCACACTTGATTCAGCAATTCTGCAGTTGAGAACTGTTGCCACTGAAGGATGCTCAACGCGTTTCCCGCAGAGATTGCCCCAGACCTCCTCCACTCCCGCCCAGGCACCAGGCACTCTCTTGTCTTCAGAAAATTATTTCACTTCCTCTTTTGTCATCTGTAACAGGGTTTCTCAGCGTTGGCCCTGTTGGCATTTTGGATCAGGTAATGCTTGGTTGTCAGGGCGTCCTGTGCACTGCAGAGAGGTCAGCAGCATCCCTGACCTCCACACATGAGATGCCGGTAGCAATCTCTGGATCCTGACAGCCAAAAATGTGTCCAGACATCCCTAACTCTCCTCTGGGAGAGAATCAATGTCCTGGGTTCAGACAACTAATGGAGAGACTCCTCTAACTACGCTCCCTTGAATTAGATAATTGAGACTCTTAAAATAACAGAGGTGAAAGGAGGCAGTGAGACTAACTGGGCCACCACGTATGAAGGTAAGTCCAGAGCAATTAAGTACAAGAATGATGTTTCTAAAATATAAACATGACCACGTCACCCTTGTGTTTAAAACGCTCCAGCATCTCTCCAGCACTCCCAAGAGAACATCACAGAGCTCTCATAGTCCTGTCTCTCCAGCTTCGTGGCCACACTGAGCTACACACAGACATCTGAATGCCTTGTGTTATTCTGTGCCTACCTTCTTGGCAAATATCTTTGTCTCAAAATAGCACATTTTGAAGTTTCTCTGCATGCATGCTTTCTCATGCAAGCTATGTGAGGGTAAACACTTGGTCTCCTGTATTTAATATTCCCCCCCCCAGAATCTTACTCAATAAGGCTGGTTAAAAAAAAATGACCAAAAATCTTTATATTTTGGCTAACATATTGACTAGCCTGAAATCCCTTCCTCCTCTTCATTTTATTTATTCTTAGAAATTTAGTCTAACCCCATCAAAAGCATCTGGAAACTTGCATCATCTTCTTTGGTTTGAACGGGCCCTGGGTGTGCCCCTGAAAGGTCTCACCTTGTTGATGTGTTCACATGTCCGTTAGACGCCCTACCTCAAAACTGTCGATTTCTGAGAGCGAGGACCACGCAGCACCGCCCCGGTGATCTCAATCCTCAGTGCTAGCGTTTGGCTCACAGTAAATGTTGCATGAAAAAAACGAATGTCTCTCCCACAATTTTAACTTCTTCCTTTTGAATACAGCACAAGTCTTGTCTCATCTTTCTATGTGTTCTTCACAGTATGTAACACAACATCTAGCACAGAGCACACAGTTCACGAACACAGCGTGTTTGTTGATCCTTGATCGTGATTTGAAACTTTGAGAGAATATCCCACCGGAAACCTTAGGGAAGTTCTCAGGAATGAAAAAGATAGTTTATTGGTTTCAGAGTGACCGACCGTCGCAGTGAGAGCTGCCGGTGCGCCACCCACATCCCCGAGGGTTCCTTCTGCCGCTTCAGTTTGCCTCTCTCAGCTGCAAGGTGCTTCTGTGTCCAAAGGTCTGCAGCTGCGGCTGTTCGCCGAGGACGGCCCTCAGCTCCTGGAGTGCCCTTGGTTTTATGTGCAGAGAGCTGACTCCTTGGGAGGCCCTCCTCGCTCCTAGCTCTTGCCCTAAAGAGTACGGGGTTGACAGCTGGAAACTCACAGCCTCACTCAGGCCCAGACACTGAGAGGACAGCTCACCGGCCACGCTCCCCAGCCTGGGGCCACCCTGCGGGTGGTGAGGGGTGCTGTCCTGGAGTCACACTCTGGCTCTGCTTTTTCCCCTTTCCTGTCCTGGTTCCCCAGATCCCTTACAAGCTTCTCCCTGGAACATTTCCTTAGCAAGTCAGCTGCCCACAAATTCTTATCTTAGGGTCTGCTTCTGGGGAGCCAACCTAGAATCACCTCTTTCTCTTTGCTAACTGTCTGTCAACAGGGCAGTGGAAGAGGATCGTATCAGAATCACCTGAGGGCAGGAGGGGCCACATAATGGGTGCGGCCCAGTGATAAATGAAAATGGGGGCCTCTTCTTCAACACGTACCGAGTTGCAAGGTCATTAAACTGAGACTCACCACTCTTACGTGCTGAAGTCAACTCTGCGTGATAACCTCATTCACATTTCCCGCAGCCAGCCGCCCTTCAGCAACCCCTGATGACTGACAAGTAACACAGATGTTCTGGGTTTGAATGAATTTTTTTTCTTTAAATAGTGTTCAGTTTTAAGTTTTATTAATTTAAAAATTGCTGTAGAAATGAAAGACATATGGGAAATTTTTAAAAAATCAGTGGCTTCAACAAAATGGTCAGTGACACATAAAGGAGTCTTGAAATTCATTGCTCCTGGCAAAAGTCTGAGCACATAGTAATCACTCAATAAATACTCCTTAATTGACTGATTAGCTTTCAAAAACTTGACTTTTTTTTTTCGGTTCTCTTTGCACTTGGCACTGTTAGAAGCACGAAGGATTAAGATATGAGAGAATTAGAAAGGATCGAGGATGTCAGCAATCACAATCAAAAAAACTTGCTTTTGCAGATGGGAAAACTGAGATTAATGTATTTTAATAGATTCTGTATGGTCGTACGCCTGGGATGTGATGACAAAGAGTTACACTGCTTGTTGCTTCTAAATAACAATAGGGCACAATACATAATTGTTTGCAGAAGTTACATTATTACAAACTTAAAAGGGACAGCGAAGCTGTGTCAAGACATCTACCGTGTGTTATGTATCTTAGTAGCCATGTAACAGGTTACCACGAAATTTAGCAGCTTAAATCAAGGCACATTTGGCTGGAAGGGGGGATTTGGATGTGGTTAGATAAGAGAAACAAAGGATTTCACGTGGAAGGGCAAGACAGATGGAGACACTCAGAGTCTATGTGGAAAGCAGATCTCCAACGTTAGATAGAAAAAGGTAGAACTTACCTGTAGACAATTTGGGGTACATTTAACGTATTTATATATGAAAGTGACATGGTTGGTGTATCGTTTTCAGGAGGTGCGTATCAGTGCTGTACACGAGGACATCGGGGCGTAACAGCTCACAGCCCCAAGGAGGGCGCAGCTCCGGCCAGCGGGCCCTCCCCAGGCACGGGAGCCAGTGACCAAGTGCTCGTCTGCCTTCAAGATGAAATGACATTTCTGTTGCCTGAATTTTCATTTTCTCTCCCCTAAATTGTCTTCACACAAACTCCATCATCAGGTGGTGAGAAAACAAGAGCACGGCTCAGGCTCTCCTCTCTCAGGCCCCACTCAGCAGCGGATGCGAACCCAGACGTGGCCACCAGGCTGGCCTCG